CACACACACACACACACACACACACACACACACACACACACACACACCTGTCACTGCACCTTTATTAATGCGCACCCTTACCTTTGAGTATGCACATTGACTAATATTTGATATTTGCACTGTGAAATAGTCAAACAGTGAAGTGTGTGCGCTTGAATCTGTGTGTGTGTGTGTGTGTGTGTGTGTGTGTGTGTGTGTGGCTTTCAGCAGGATTGATGGGATCCTGCTAAAGAGAAGCATCTTTCACGGGTTCAATTGAGGCAAGCACGATGTTTCTGCACTATGTGTGTACAGTGTGTGTGTGTGTGTTTACACTCATGCACGTGTGTGTGGATGCTTGTAGCAGCTGCCCACCGCTCCACAATAGGGCGAGCACTTCAAACACACTAGACTAGACTTTTTATAGGCTGAAGCTCAAGCTACAGGCAATATGTCTGAATCTCCGAATGCTCTTCTAGTTTAAAAAGGAATAGTTGAAAGTGAACAGGCCCCAGTTTAAGTTAGTTATTTCTGTGAGCAGGTGATCATCAGTGGACCTAGAAACATGAACCCATGAGCACCCCGTAATCTAACCCCAGCTGTGCACGTAAACAGAGCAGAGAGCTCCATTTCCTGCATGTAAGATGGCAAAGGCTGAAGAAACAAACAAGAACAACTTAACCGTCATACTGAAAGTTTAATGAACCGTCTCCTATCGTCTGTTTACCCGGCTCTCAAATACCAACTGTCGTCGTTTACTCAGTGCACTCGGAGGCATCAGGCTGCCATTTGTCTTGGTGAACAAGCCAAGCATCGCTGTAGAGATGAGTAGGTGTTTCTTCCTCAAATCTCGTGTTTGTGTTTTGTGTTGTGCGTGTTTTCTTTTCTCAGGCCGCACGGGGGGGGGGGGGCGACGGGGGCCGTTTCCTTCTGAAGTGCTGAGGGAGACTAAATAGTGGATCAGAAGGAATGTCAAAATGCTGAAGTGTTTCCACGATCAAGTTTTAATGAGATGCATCAAATATGGATGAGGACAGAGAAGTAAGGCAGTTGGCCTTTGGTTGACAGCAGGGGTGTGAGACAGAGACAAACATGCACTGCAAAAAGTTTCCACCCCAACTTTTACACTCCTAAAATTAAATATATTTTCCCTGAAGTACATGGAAAACTTACACGTGCTATAATTATTCCGCAGCCACATTTTGCCTTTAAAGGGGACTGAATTGCACTTGCAAAGTTAGAAGACATGTAGACAAAATAAGAAAATAAGAATAAAAAATTCAAAACATTTTTATTTTATATTAATGTTAGAAATATTTTCCTGTTGCTGAGTAATGTTAGTCTTTATCCATCATTCGGGGTAAAATACAGTCATTTACTTTGAGTAGTCTTTTACTTGCCCCCTCAAAGACTTAGTTATAGAAAGTGTATCATTCTGTTTTGATTATATGAAATGATTATTTGTATTTGAATTAAAATGTGAGGGAGTTTCAGAAGCTGTGAGACGTTTCAACACATTTGTTGTCTTTGATTGAAGCATACTGACACCTTTAGTAGCCCCTCCCTGTCTTTTTCAATGTGACGCTCAGAAGTCCCCTCCAGAGGACATTGTACTGCTTTCACATACTCAGTGGTACTTTTTCCATGAACAGCAAATTGACCTCAATGTCTTACACAGCTGGAGTGCTCCTTTAAATGAAAGCCTTATATTATGTATTTTACTAAATCAATGCCATATAGCTCTGAATTTTGTATTAATATTCTGTTGTACTAAATCCCCTTAACAGCAAGCATAACATTAACATTTAACATTCTCCATCATACATATTAATCTCCTCAATTTGACGGGATTCTTTACACTTTTAATAGAAGGTGGCGGACTGTTGAGTACATATTCTACTCCAAAGCTATCAGATCTTTCTGCAAAGCTCAAAACGTTGTTGAATTGAAGCTCATTAGGATTTGAGTTAAGCCTTGATGTCTGTGAATTAGTCAAGGAAATGCTGCTGTGTAATCCCCCCTTTGGTTCTGACATGTTTGGAAGCTGTTCGTTGGAGGTTCTGGCCTCGGCAGCGAGATTGAGTCGCTGTAACTACTAAAAAGATAAAAATCCATCGCTGGCTGACTAGGCACAGCAGGTCAAACGTCGAGTGTAGGAATCTGCAATAGCCCGAGTGCTAATCCCAAATTAAGCCTCAGACCACACACCGGGCCATGTGCTGTTCAACACATCTGCCACAGAGCGGAGCGGAGCAACAAACGCACAGAAAGAGGCTGAGGTTGACCTTTAGCGGGACTCCGCCTCCGCACATCCCAGTCTAAGAACAACGCCGTGATCCGAGACGCGCTGCTCGGACATGCAGGACTACTGGTGCATGTGCAGAGCCTTCACAAAGAAACAGAGATCTGAACAAATGATATTTTCATAAGGCGATGGGCCCTTTGAATCAGTAGGATTCAAAACCCCTTTCAGAGGGGTTAGATGAAGGGAAGTCTGATCCAGGGTTAAGGGGCTGGAAGCTAAAGCGCTGGTCCAGTTCAAGTCTGAATCCAGCCTAGGGTTTAACCGAAGGAGGCTTTTGAAAGCTCCTTCTGACATTTGTGGATTAAAGCTATGGATTTGACTTTCCAAAACCACCACAATGCTTTGCTAGTCTCCCCTGCAGTTGTCTTCTTGGTAGAGTGGAGAAGCCTCTGAAATGACATTAAAACCACGAGGCTGAAACAAATTCATGCTCGTAGTGACTGCAATCACACCCTCACACTGGAAGGCATGCTGGGAATATCACAGCATTAGTCAACAGACAAGAGATTTGTTATCAGAGCGCATCCTATCCTGCAACGCAAGACCGTGATGTGTGTGTGTGTGTGTGCGCATGCATGGTGAGGATTTGTGCTCACAATCCCACAGACATTCAATGCCAATTAAAGAGTGACCTTAATAAAGAGCAGGATTAATTTGACTTCAGAAGAATTTCAACCATTAAAGTCACCCTGAACCCTCCGGCTGCCCGATGCTTCATGGCAGATGACAACTGGGCAGCAGTAGTGTTATCCCCCCCCCCCCCCCCCCCCCCCCCCCCCCAATACTTAATGTGTGTGTGTGTGTGTGTGTGTGTGTTGGACACCTCCAAAAGAATTGGCTTGGCTGATGAAGCAAAGATGGTCTGCCAAGGACTGGCTGTCGTCTCACACACAGACATTATTGGACATATTCTTGTCTACTTCCCTCTGTCCATCGGTCTCTTTCTTACTTTTCCTCTCAAGTGTACTCTCACTATTTAGGGTCCAGCAGCCCAGTATCACTAGAATTACTTCCATATTTGGACGATTCGGCAGGGCACGATCCATGACCGGTGCCAACATTCAGTACCAGACATGGAAGTAGTGTGCCCGTTATGGGTGTGGAGGTCAGGGTCATTCGGAGCCTCCCGAGCAGGTTTATCTGGCTGTGCAGTACCTCTCGTTTCTCTCCCCCTCTTCTTCCCCGTCTCATCCCAAAGATGCAGATCCAATCAGCACAGAAGAGGGTGGACAGAGGAGGGTGACGGGAGAGAACAGTGGTGTCAACAAAACGTCTGTTAACAGCAGACTCTGAATGAGCGGTGTGTCGTTCAGAGGATGATGAGGATGAAATTGTGATGAAATAGAGACATCGAGGACGAGATGGATGAAAGAAAGAAGACTCTGCCTTTCTGTGTTTCCCACAGGTAGTCAGTTCACTTCAGCAGCTCTGGGATACACTGATGACTTGTTATTGATGTTTCATTTAGCAAACGCGGTAATTCACATTTTTCCCAGGTGCTGAAGTCTGTCAAACCACTTGAAGCTGATGGCACTGCGACAATGGCTGATTATTATCCTTCCATCTGTTTGCCGAGACGTCGTCTTAAACGCTCCGTGTCAGCACCGACGCGGTCGGACTCCGGGGAGAACAGATGTGCTACATCACTGATGAATTATGGCCATTGTAGTTCACTAACTGTCTCAGCGTTTGGCAGCGTTAAAGCTGGAAAAACTTCATCGGAGAGAATCGGCAGCTTCGTGCACCACCGCACCCCCAAATGAATCTCACCGAACAGAGCTGCTGGTATAGTTGAGGTGGTAACACTGGATACAAAAAGTTAATAGCAGTTACCTGTCTGTACTGGACTTTATGAAGAAGAAAGTTAGAAAGAGTACAACTAGTTCTACTGTTACAGGCAATGTTTCAAATTTCATGGATGTTACATTAGACCTCATTAGATTTAGCTACGTGGACCTAATAATTAGACTGAAAAAAAGTGTATTACAGTAAATAGGCCACTGCATAATATTTGTATGGAGTATGGATTTCAGACATAGACTCGGTTTCTTGAAGTTGCCCCTGCATCAATGTAAGAGGGTTTGTTTCCCTTTGGACATAGTGAAAATCAACATGTTTTTTATCTTCACCTTACACGTGTTCCAACATGAAGGGACTCCCACAGCTGTGGATCTGCCCACTGCCGTGTTCAGTCTTCCAAATCTAGCAGGCCAGTGTAGCGTGTGTCGCTGACGACCGTTTCTCCAAGAACAAAACCAGACTAGTCCTGTGTTCAACGACCTGTGTGCATCTGTGGTCTCACACACTGATTAGTACAACGTGTCCTCCACAGCCTGAAAGTGTCCCATGTTCAGAAGTTGATTTGGCTGCTTGACCTGTTGCACTGTTAATAACGGTAACATTTAATAACGCTCCGTCTCTGCCAGTTATGTTCTCGCATAAGCAGTTCATGGATGAAACCAATTCATAGACTGAATTCCTCTACAATCCACCAGTAATTAGACAAGAAGCGCCATGAAAACAGCTGGACAAACTGCCATGACACGCAGGCATTTATAAAAGGTGTAATAAGCTAGTGTGGGCGGGATGTTACTGTTACTTTCAGTCTTTCT